TGACAATATAAATGAATGTTTATCTAAAAAACTTAATCTTTGAAATGTAGTGATCGTGTATTATTTTTTAATTTCGTGGTTGATGGACTCTTTTGTTAATTAGTTTGACTGAATCAATATATAACAAATTTTGTTGCCAATCGTTATTGTAGTTTTAAAATTAGTTTGTGTAAATGCATAAATAAAAAGAGACCTAAAGTACTATGAAATTTTTTCATATTTTTGAAATCAAATAAATGACAAACACTATCTTTTAACATAAAAAATGAAGTTGATGAAGAAGCTGTGTATACACACCATAATGATAAAGTCATACTATCGTATAACGGTTTATGCTATCAATGGTTCCGAAATTACCGAGTCGACTTAGCCAAAGTCGACTCTCTCCGCAGACTCCCTATAATATCTCCGATTAAGAGTCCAGGTACCCCTCGGTCGACTCCTACGTGTCGACTAGAATAAGTCGATTTCCCTGGAAAGACGGATAAGCGTATCAGGGTCTGCCGACGATCGAAGATGACCTCGTCGACTCGAGTTGATAAGACCCGAGTCGACTGAGTAAGTCCCGAGGTTCGCAGATCCCTGACGATCTGATGAACTTCAATACATCATAGGAAAACTGTCGAGGATAAGGAGGAAGCTATTAAGGATAAGGAAGAATCTAGATGCTGACTAGGAAGCGGACGGAATACGAACCGACCAGGGTATTTTGGACATTTCTAGTAAGTCGGCCAGGGCATTTTGGGGACTTCAGGTAAATGTTTTACTTCTATATAAAGGAGCTGAGATAACTCCAAAACCCTAACTCCCATTCATTCTACATTCTCCTCCATTGCTGCTGCTCCCTCAGAGCAGCTCTTTTCACCCTTTTCACATACTGACTTGAGCGTCGGAGGCTCTACGCCGGAATCCCTCCGGCGTTGAGTTCTTGCAGGTGTTCTCGCGGTTCGATAGCAATTTGGAGACCATCAAGACAGATATGAGCTCGTTCCCATCGGTTCATTCCAGATCTAGGCGATTTTCCACCGGTTCACCCCAGATCCGAGAATAGACCCATCAATTGTATTATCAAAACCGATAAGGTATATAAAATTTTCCTTTTCAAATCGATAATGAAGAAAAAGTCTAATTGGTGAAAAGATGATATATACAAATCATGATTTTAGAAATCTGATATATACAAATCTTAGCATGTAGTTTTAAATAATTTAATAATATAATAATAGGCTGAATGAATTATGATTCAGATTCATGCAAAGAAAATTTTGAACAAATTTCTAAAATCATGATATATACAAATCATGATTTTCGTTGGAGATTTATTCAGATTTTCTAAAATCATATATTACAGCTCGACCTGCCGTAGGCGGTCAGAGGACCGAAAAGCTAATTTTTTTCAGTTAGCAGACTATTTCCAAAAACGGTCCATTAACGGGACCAAATTGAAAACGACCTGTAGATAAAGGACGAAAAAACCTTTTTTTCCTATCATGGCTTTAAGTATATGAGTACTGAACTGAACTGAAACTATTCTGATCTCGGCATAAAGCCGCTAATTCATGTGCACACCCCAACCGGAACATTAAGACCCGCTCAGCCTCCAGGTCGGGACCACATGCGGAACATTAAGGCCCGCTCAGCCTCCGGCCTGCGCGATAAACTATTCTCATACATACCTCGGACATGGTACGGAAATTAAAGATAATGTATAACCAGTACATGACCCCCACCTAATAAGCTGCTACTGCTAGGCAAATGCTGAATGACTGGTAGCTGTCGGAGGCTCGACTCTCCTTAAGCTACATAAATATTTGAGCAAAATGTACTAAGTACTAAGCTCAAACTGAAAACTCGATTCTTATTATTATCTGATCTTACTAGGTACGCTCGCTCGATTTTAAAATCATTTAATCTTGATTTAGAGGATTTATGAGCTATTCTGGAAAATTTACTGACATTGAGGCTTTCTAAAGTTCTCTGAAATATTTTTAAGTCTCGTATGCTTATCTAATTTATCTGATCTAGCTTATCTGATTTATCTGATCTAGCTTATCTGACTGATCTGATCTTATCTGAACTATCTTATTCTGATATGACTTATCTGGCTGAGTTCGGAAAAATATTGAATCTCGGTTCACGCTCAAACCGGTATTCTGAACTGATACGCTCGAATAGTCCAGACCATCCAGACTGATTCGGCTAAACTGGACCGACGACTCGATATGAGCCGAACGATTGCTCGTCTGATTGGGTGCAACTCGGCTTAACCATGGTCCGGGTACATACGCCCAGACATGGCATCAGTCGACGCACAACTTTTCTACTCGAATCTAGAGTTCATCCGGTCTGACCGGGAACAGGCCGAACTAGGGTTCTCTACTCAACCGGCTATCTATCACGGTTCAAGCCGAAACTCAAACTCTAAGTTCAACGTGATTTCTAGTGATTTTAGGCCCAACAACTGCAGCTAAATGTCCATCGACATAATATCTATAATTTTTAATGAAAGCAACTAAAGCCCCAAATTATTAGGCATGCCAAACAGTCTCCAAAATTCACGAAATTTCAAACATATCAATTTTAGCATTTATATGATTTTTTTCATAAAGTTTCAACGCATTTCGAGGCCTTTAGCATTTTTATAAAAAATCGGACATTTCGACTACATATTTAAAAATCCGGTTAACATACTAAACGAGCACCAAAAATCACAAAATTAAAACCTAAGACTCAAGTCAGCTATACGGATTTTATCACGTTGGTTTCACATTTTTCCAGGCAGCAAGCAATATATTCTGAATTTAATGCTATTTATACCGACAAATTCATAATAAATCACGTAACGCTCGAAATCACCTCCCGTCATTTTTAAAATTCATCTAAATACTTGTTTAAGGCATGGAGAAAGAGTTAAGCCGATGTACCTCCCGAAGTGTCCAAAACGAAAATCGGAAAATTGGAAAAGATTAGAAAAATGGATCGGCTATTGAAACCGGGTCAGATCTACTGGGGCTGATTCAGGTCTACGATAATGGACCCAGTTCTGTGTTTCGGAGCTTGGTTCTGAGCTAAAGGTCACGGAGCTGGTTCGTTTTCGCACGGATCGAGGTGCTCGGACGTGCTCGTGGCTCGGATCTCACACGTGGTCACGGTTTGGCTCGGATCTCGCTCGTGGTGCAGCAGGCTCGGGCTGAGCTTTTCGTGGTGGGCAGATCGCGGGCTCTTCATGAACGGGCTGAGCTTGGTTGCTGGCAGCCGTGAAGGAGGGGTGCTGGACGCTTTTCCAGCGAGGTGAGCTGCAGCTGGGGCCGTCGGTGTGAGCAGCGCGCATGGAAGAAGTTTGTTGTGGACTGAGCTCGTCAGGAGGAGGATGACGACGTGAACGCGAGCTGGGGTGGCGGTGGTTCGCTTTTCCAGCAAGGTGAGCTTTCTCGCTGGAGATGGTGTGGATCTCGTCGGGTTTGAGTCGCGCGTACGGACTGAGCGGGATTTGGATGTCAGGAACGGGTCGCAGCTGCGTGGATGAAGCTTGGATGGTGGTGGCGAGCTCGGCCCTGCGGTGGTTTTCGGCGAGAAGGGATGGTGGTGCGAGCTCGGTCTGAGATGGTGAGTTCGCCGGTAGGGACGGATCTTGCCGGAAATGAGAGCTGGGTTGTTGGCAGTATGAGGAGCTCGCCGGAAATGAAGGCTGCGAGCAGCGTTTGAGCTTTGCCGGCATGAAGGAGAAGCTTCCGGCGGGAATGACAGTGGCGACGTGGAGGTCTCCGCGCGGCGGCTCGCCGGAGCAGGTGGATGGCCGGAAAAAAAAAAGATGGAGAAGATGGTGAAGCTTGAAGGTAGCTAGGGTTTCTTGAAGAAGATGAATGAGGATGGTGTTGAAGAAGGTGAATGAATAATAACCTTAATGGATAAGATTTTGTGGAGGAAAATGAGCTAAAGATTTTGATGATGTATTCTATTTACAGATAGATTAGGGAGCTTAGGGTTTTCTCTTCGTGGGCTTTAAAAAAAATAGGGCTTAATCGATTGGGTTCGGTTATTAAAATTCTACTTTCGATTCTTAAGATGTTACTCGGGTCGAGATAAAATCTATCCGGCTAAATTTAGAAATGTCTCGATTAAAAATAGTTGGGCCGATAAATCAAATACCACTTGATTCGAAATTCAATTCGACTATTCGAACTGAAAATGGGCCGACTAATTAAATAGTTGTGCTTGTTCGGGAATTAAATAAATTCCCGACTTTTCTAATATCCGATAAAAATAACTAATCGAGTCTTAGACTTAGAATTTTTTCTCGTTTCCGAAATAATAATTCGAACGTTTCTCCATGTCTTAGACTTATAATATAACAAATTATGCGATTAATACTAATAATTCTCGGCATAATTAATATATTACTATTTTTGATAAATAAAGTAAGCTAAATATATAATTTTAGGGCCGGGGCTTACACGGTTTCTGCCTCGAGAGGTCGAACAGAGAGCCAGCCAGCCGACTCGGAGTCACCCTATCATTTGACATCCCACGCAAACTGCTACTAGAGAAGATCAAAAGGCCACAGATTGGACTATACGACGACAAGTCAAACCCGAATGCTCACATCGGACTGTTTACTTCATGGATGGACCTTGATGGCGCCCAAGATGTCCTTCAGCGGCGAATATTTTCCTTGACCCTGGGGACGAAGGCCCAACGATGGTATCACTCCTTGCTGCCCCACTCTATCCACAACTGGCCACAATTGAAGTCATCTTTACGAGCCCACGTCATAGGACAAATGTGGATGGTCCCGAAGGAGTCAATTACAAACATCGTGCAAGGCACGGACGAGAGTTTGAAGGATTACATCACCCGCTTTAGCAGCTCTTCATTTCCACGAAAATGGACCGTAATTTATCATTTATTCATCATGAAAGTCAGTTTATTTTTCATCTAATTGTTGTAAACACAATGAGAACACATGTTACAACACGGTAGAATGCAAATGACGATGTTAATTAGAATTTGGAGATGAAATCGTAGACGTGGTTGCTGAACTCCGTAGGCTTTTCTTGGTTGATAAAGTGTCCAACTCCTTCCATCACCACAACTTGTTGGAGAAGTGGAACAAATTTCTTGAAGCCACCGCTCTCAATGAAGTCCTTGACGCCCGGAAAATGGTATGCCAGGTCCAGGTCACCAACCAAGAACTTGACTGGCACTTGAACTTTAACTCCTGTCCATGACGCTGTCAGCTCCCAACTCCTATAAAATTAAAGCAAGCAGATGATCAATAAATTGTTAAATGAATGAAGCTATTATATAATATTAATGGAACTTACAAGTCCATAGCTCGATAGTAGTTAAGTCCACCGGTGAAGCCGGTTTTTTCAAACTTAGAGGCGTAATAGTCGATGTCTTGCTGAGTGAGCCACGATGGCAAAGGTGGTGGTGGAGCTTTGAACAATAAACCCATATCCACCTCAGGGGGTATAGCCAATAGTTTTGGGTTTCGCATACACAGAAAAGTTGTTATTACATTTGCGGTGTCGGTGGATGCAAATACTGCCTCTGCTTGCCCTGCTTCCTAATTAATACTAGTAATAATTTCACTTCCACACACAAATTAATTACATGCAGGAATGAATTAAATTGCAAAATCCAATTAATTGCGTAATTAAATACCATAAATATTTTATTGTACAAAGTAAAGTGCATGATTTATAATTTACCTGGAATCTGCACATGTAGAAGCCGTCTCCAAAAGCCTGCCTGTAGCCCTGTATAGTCTTGACCAGGGGGTTTCTGGGCTGGAAGATGACGCTGCTGTTGACCAAGGCTTTGACCCTGTCGGGCCTGAGCAAGCAGAACCACCAGGCGATGATGGCGCCCCACTCGTGGCCCACCAAGAACACCTTCTCCAGCCCAAGCTCGTCCAGCAGGGCCACCAAGTCCCCCACCACGTGGAGCACAGTGTAGTAGGCGGCGGCGGACAGCGGGGCGCCTTTGGTGTCGCCATATCCGCGGAGGTCGGGTGCAATGGTGCGGTAGCCCTTGGCGGAGAGGTGGCGCATCTGGTGGCGCCACGAGTACCAGAGCTCCGGGAAGCCGTGGACAAAGAGGATGGCCGCAACGCCGCCGCCCAGCTCGGCCACGTGCATATCAATGCCGTTCACCTTCACCTGCTTGTGCACAACCTGCTCCTCCATTAATTTTCAGTACCTGCACTCTTTCTCTCTCTTCTTAGTTTTCAGATCAGTTGTTTATGGGGAAACTTTGGAAAATATTGTAGTCAACTACGGGTTTAATGATATGTGTGTACCTAACACCAACATTTATTTATTGTTAAATTAAATTAACTGAATACAACTAGACATGGCCACGGGCCAACCCGGCCCGTGGCCCGACCCGTGACCCGGTACCGGCCCGGCCCGACCCGGTACCGGTACCGGCATGAATAGTGCCGGTTTTTAGAACCGGACCGCGGCCAATCCGGTCCGGTTAAGGGTCACGGGTTTTTTTCTTTTGTCCCGGCGGGCCGGGCCGGGCCGCGCCGGGTCGCATTGCTTTTTTGTGGATTTTTAAGGGCCGTACCGGCCCGGAACCATCCGAGACCCGCCGGGCTGTTGAACCGGCGGGTATGTTTCTTCGGGCCGGTTACGGGCCACAATATTGAGGCCCGCCGACCCGGCGGGCCGGGCCGGGCCGGGCCGAGGCCCGGCACCTGGCCACCTCTAAATACAACTACTAGTCTAGTCTAGCTCCCAAGATTAGTCAGTCACGTATCATTTAATTTCATACTTGTTTAGGTCAATTATCCACTCACTCCGGCCGGCCACTATGTGATTGCCTACTAGCTGTTGATACAATCGTATCTAAACAACTGCGCTCTTCCTATAGAATCCGTCATGTCCCACAACCTCTCTTAAGCTTAACGTTACTTTCCTCAATTTTGGTCAACGCCGTGTTAAGTGAGAACTTTTCTTCTTCTATTTTTTCTCGGTACATATTTTATGGCACATTGATTTTATACACGCAATTCAAATATTTTAAGGTTGTTTAAAAATATAAATTAATTATTTTTACATATTTTTAAACAATTATTATTTAATTATTTCTATCATATAAATTAATTAAAATCCATATATTTTTACTATCATAGACAATTATTATTTAATTATTTCTATATCATATTATCTTTAATTAGTACATTATATCTTGGTATACATTCACAAACTCAAAAGTCATTATTTTTATCGACTTCAACAGAAACCCGGCGCGCTCCGATGTCCCAAGCAAGGAGCAGGCCCTGGAACAAGCCCCAAAGCTCCACTCCCACGATAGAACAAAACCCGATATTCAAGAGTGTTGTCGATATGGTTACGCGTGACCGCTCTTCTGGACCGCATGGTGGATTGGTACGTGGTATAAAGGAGCTTCTATCTCGTTGTTAGGAGGTGGACGTTGTTCATGGATATCGAGAGACCAATTTTGTGTGGCCGATTATTTGGCCTCATTGGTGGCAAAGTGTTCGGGCGGTTTGCAGCGGTTGGCGAGTCCCCCGCCGGGGGCGAGCATGTGGTTGCTTCATGATAGGATGGGCGTCACTCATCCTCGGAATGTTTTGATCTAGGCAACATAGGTTTTGCCTCCCTTCCTTGTACCAAAAATAAAGTCATTATTTTTTCATTTTTTTTTTTTTTTTTTTTTTTTTTTTTTTTTCATTTTTTCACCACTTTTATTGTTGAGTTATAGTATAATTTTTCCCAAACTAATTTACCCAAGCGTACAAATGTTTAAAAAATCACTAAATAATATTCACTGCAGTTTGATTAAATTTTTTTAGTTAATTATTTAACTGGTATACAATTGAAAGATGTACAACTATATTACGTTATGTGCACATTACAAAGGTAGTTTTTTATTTGTTTTGATTATTCTAATAGATAATTTCGTTACTTTTTAAGTTAACTGGTTGAATTTGTTTGATCTATTCCTCTCAACGGTGTGATAGAATTATGTTCATCTTCTAATTCAGAACACTATAAATATGGTTATAAAAGAAAATAAAAATTATTATATTTAAGTAAACTATTTGAGCAAATCAAAATATTGAATGGAGGTTGTTGATATCCGAACTCGCTCTCCAATAGAAATGCGACACGTACACATGTTGCGTACGTGATCAGTGAAAATTGATATCCTCTCGTTCCAGCAGAGCACAAATCGACATAATTGTGGCTGAAGATTACGATTACCGAACATCACGTTGGTTCGGCAGACGAGACAAGACCGGTATGTACTAAAATGTTAGAGACACGTGTCAGCTCCCACCAGTCCAGATAACCTTCGAGATTCGGGGCTAATCATTGCATAGCTAATGATGATGTACTTACCAGATTTAGAAAAATATCTTGTACTACACACAATAAATCGTAGTACAACTATTACAAATAGAAGATGTCCATTTAAGGATCTTTCGGCTGATCCCAAAAGAAGTACGATAGAAATCGACCGAACTGACCATTCAGTTCGACAATCTAGATAAAAAAATAATAAAATTTATTACTTTCCTTAGACATTGGTTGCTACGAAAACTGATAACAACAGAGGTTTATATGTTAAATATCAATAAGAAAATTTGAGGATATTTTAGAACTGTTACCAGCATACTAGTACAGAGCCCGTGCGATGCACGGAGTGCACAATTTTAAGTTCATTTATCCATTCTTATAATTATATAAATGATTAAAAAAATATACGGGATATATATAGTACGTGACCTGTAATAGGCCAAAATGTGAACACGAGTGATGCACGGGTGCACAATTTTAAAGTCATTTATTAGTGCATACCCCGTACGATGCATGTGATACATATAATAAATCAATTATTTCTATAGGACTTGTACGTCTAGACAAAAAAACAATAAGTTTGGATCATCCATATGTCATGTACTTGGGCTTGAGCTTGGAGAGACTTGGGCTTGGATGGAGACTTGGGCCTTGGGCTTAGATGCAAACTTGAAGAAAGAAGAAAGTGTCAACTTGGACTTAGATGGAGAATTGGGGATGAATGAAGACTTGAAGAATGGAGGAATATACCGGCCCAATTCAGATGACTTATTGATTAGTGGGCCGAACCATTTCAATAGCCCAAAGTGTTATTATTGTCATTGTTATTAGTTTATCATTTTTCTTTAATTAGTCTAAGTTTGAAATATTATGGGACCCACATGTAAATGCCTTATAAGGCTGAGTTTGTGCTAGGGGAGGTAATCAAGCAGTTACAACAAAATTACACTCTCTCTCTCTTCAATATCTCGTATCTCTCTCTACTCTCTATCTCCCTACTCTCTCTTATTCATCTTCATCATCCCCCTCATCCACCTTCTCTTTATTATCACAGAAAATACAAAAAAATCACAAAAAATAGCAAGATCATAACAATTGGTATACAGAGCAGTTGATCCTCGGCCGATGGCGGATGAATTGCTTCTCGATCAGATAGAGCTGCGACAAAAATATTTGGATCAAAAAATGCAGCTGGAAATTCTTAAGAGGGAGTCCAGTTATTCAAAATTTCAGCAACAAATGGATGGGATGAAATTTAATCTCCAGCAGCAAACACAAGGAATAAATCAAAAATTTGATCGATGTTGTGAGTTACTTGATTCCATACAATTTCTTATTAACAATCTACAACACAAAAAGCAGGCAAAATCAGCACCTCAATTCCAACATTTTTCCATACCACCATTCCCAGCCCTCACTACCCCTGATTCTGATATAAATTTTTCTATCAATTCAGAACCCCATCAAATTTCTCTAGAAAATCACAAACAAAACTTTTCACCTGTGTTCTTAGCCAAATCTACATGTACCGATACCAACAATACTTCAGGGGCTGAACTTAAAATCCCCAGCTCAAAAAAGTCCCAACCGATTCTTCATGGAATTCAGGATAAGAATTCACAGCCAAATTCAAGTGAAAATCAACAAGGTGACCCAACACCACAAAACACCACAATTCAGACCTCAAACAATCTACAATCCCTCTCCATTTTTCAAAATAATTCGGAAGAAAAGTACTTACCGATGCAAACTCCAATAGAAGTGTTCGACTTGCCTGGAGATGACGAAAAAGAACTGGTGAAGGAACACATCGGTGAATTAATTGAAGCCCCAAAACCTCTTGAGCAATTCTTCGAACTCGGACCAAATTCAAGGGATTTAGAGTCTGAAGGACTGTTCCACGAGGAAAGGAAGACGTCGACGCAGTCGTGCTTCGTGATTGACCGGGGAAGACGAAAAAGCTGCAAGGGAGGTGTAAAGAGGACGAGCATGAGGCTCCACGGCAGCCTCGAAAAGGCTTGGTCTCGCCGGCTTCTGAAAACGGTTGGCCGGAGGGGATCTGCGTCACGTCGGACCATGCGAAGGCACTTATGGTATACCTCGCCAAAGCTACAACAACCACGAACAGAAAAAAATGCGGAGGTCGAGAGAATGCTCAATTCAGTAGGATTCCAAGTCGTGGCGGGCAGATGGACGCGTGGTCTAGGCGAATTAATTGGAGGTGGCCAGAGACCGAATCTGTTATTGGTTGTGGATTTCCGGTAAGGAGTGGAAGACGACCGCAACTTCTGGGTCAATTGGATTTTTCGGCTGGGCTTTATCAGAATTCGGGTTGGGTGGCTAATTTCATAATAAAATTGGGCGTTCTATGGAAGGGCGGTGAATCCAAGCGGGCGACGGGAAGCTTGGTGTCGCCGGATAGCTGAGGAACGTGGGTCGTCAACGCTGGATTTCAAACCTTGGTTGGGAAAATTTTGTACCCTAACCATGGATGACTCTGCAGAACGAAAGAAGGGTCACGATTCCTACATCGGGACTCAATCTGGAAAGAGATCGAGTCGTAGGCGGTCTTTGGGTTATGGCCGCGATGCGGTGGCGACGACGGGGAGGCGTGGGATGAAGGAGCTGAATAAATCGACTCCATACGCCAACACCAAGATTGTCGAGGAGAAGCAGAATGGGTCGCCGAGCTTGGAAGAGAGATGTGGGCGTTCTGACGCGTGGTCGCGGCGAATTGCTCAGAGGGGTGACCGGAGTGAAGGACCGGAGGTCCGACTGAATTTCGATTTCTGGGGAGAAGTGGAAGATGGTAGAAGCTTCGCTTACAAGCTCAACAATGGTCGAAAGGTGGATTGTTCTCGTTGGAGTCCCAAGCACGGTGGGCGATCGGGACCTTGGTCTCGCCGGATCGTTAAAGCACAAAGGTCATCGTTACCGGATTTTGAAGGATCGCGAACAAGAATTGTTTGTGTGGCTACCGATGATTCTGGAAAACGAACTTGCATTAGGAAGTTGGCTGATAAAATATCGGTGATTTATGGGCCAACATCATATAAACCTTAGTCATTTTATTGGGCCACTGTTTATTTTATGGCATTTCGATTGGGCCTGAACATAAGTGGCTTTCAGCCTTATTAATTAGGAGTGGAATATGGCAGGTTCGAGATCGAGAGAACTTTTGCTGGACTATCTTATCGGAATTTGGGCTGGAATGCTATATTATTGAGATTTGCATTTCAGAAGCTTAAAATTGGGCCAATTATTACAAAGAAACATGGATTACCTTTGGGCTGCCAAGATTTTATTTTTGAGACGTGGAAGATTTGGAAATGGGAGCCATTTGATGCAATACTTAGATTTTCAAGTATGAGTCTCGGGGACGAGACTCTTTCGAGAAGGGAGTATTGTCATGTACTTGAGCTTGAGCTTGGAGAGACTTGGGCTTGGATGGAGACTTGGGCCTTGGGCTTAGATGCAGACTTGAAGAAAGAAGAAAGTGCCAACTTGGGCTTAGATGGAGAATTGGGGATGAATGAAGACTTGAAGAATGAAGGAATATACCGGCCCAATTCAGATGACTTATTGATTAGTGGGCCGAACCATTTCAATAGCCCAAAGTGTTATTATTGTCATTATTATTAGTTTATCATTTTTCTTTAATTAGTCTAAGTTTGAAATATTATGGGACCCACATGTAAATGCCTTATAAGGCTGAGTTTGTGCTAGGGGAGGTAATCAAGCAGTTACAACAAAATTACACTCTCTCTCTTCAATATCTCGTATCTCTCTCTACTCTCTATCTCCCTACTCTCTCTTATTCATCTTCATCATCCCCTCATCCACCTTCTCTTTATTATCACAGAAAATACAAAAAAATCACAAAAAATAGCAAGATCACAACACCATATTTTACATCTTTTAATAAGTGGCATTTATTTAAGCTAAAAAATTAACATGTTAATTAATATATAATTCTGCTAACACGTCATACTAATATTTATTTGATTTTAGAATACATATTTATTCATTGATATAGGAAAAAATAAAAATTTTATTAATTATTGTTCACCATATAATACTCAATTATTATTTTATTATAAAATTTACAGTCTTATAATGTAATTATTATTATTTATAAAAGTTATAGAAGTAGTCTTCTTTATGTAATGAAATTCAAAATAAAATTTTGAGTATAAATATTTACAAAATACACACACATGTTTTTTAGAATTCAATTTTCTCATAATAATTCCTTTTTTTTAAAAAAAAAAAAACAAAATGATTTAGCAATTGCCAAAAAATAAATCCCTTACATAATCAAGAGATTTTTTTCTAATTTTCATCCTAGTTTATTTAACATACTATGCAATAGAAAAATATTTTATAATAAGTTCATTTTTGAAACATAACAAAAAAAAGTGATATAAACACTATCATAGTTGACAATAATATACAAATAAATAACATGTCGAAATTTTAAAGAATAACTAATATAATTTTATTATCTAACCATCAATAAAATCATTTAATGATGTGATTATTATCTTTTAAAAAATAAATAATATTAATTTTTTTAAAAAATATTAGTGTTATATAATTAAATAAAGTTTAAAAAATATTACTCGACAAATATTAATTATAATGGATATCAGTAAAATCATTGCATAAATTATTTAAGGAAAAAATCTTGAATTTGGATAGTAAATGTAAATATACAAGCATTTAATGCATATAGTAAAAAATTTCCAAATAAAGTATGCATTAAATGTATGTTGACTTTTTTTTGCTACTGTTTTTGGTAAATAAGTTGACTTTTAATATATATACTAGTGCATAGCCCGTGCGATGCACGAGATACATTTAATAAATCAATCATTTCTATAGGACTTGTACTTTTAGGCGGAAAAAAACGATAGACTTGGATCATCCATATTTCACATCTATTAATAAGTGATGTTTATTTTAGCCGGACAATTAACATATTAATTAATGCAATATTTCGCAAATACGTTATACTAATATAAATTTGATTTTAGAATATATATTTTTTCATTGATATAAGAAAAAATAAAAATTTTATTTATTCATCTTCAACATATAATACTCAATTATTATTTTATTATAAAATTTACAGTCATATAATTTCATTATTATTATTTATAAAATTTATAGAAGTAGTCTTCTTCGTACTAATTTATGTAATGAAATTCAAAATAAAATTTTGTGTATAAATGTTTACAGAATACACACACATATTTTTTAGAATTCAATTTTCTCATAATAATTTTTTTAAGAAAATTGATTTAACAATTGCCAAAAAATAAATCCCTTACATAATTAAGAGATTTTTTCTAATTTTCATCCTAAGGCTTTATAGTTTATTTTACATACTATGCAATAGAAAAATATTTTACAATTAGTTCATTTTTGAAACATAACAAAAAAAAAAAAGTGATAAAAACACTATCATAGTTGACAATAATATACAAATAAATAACATGTCGAAATTTTAAAGAATAACTAATATAATTTTATTATCTAACCATCAATAAAATCGTTTAATGATGTGATCATAATCTTTTAAATGATAAATAATATTAATTTTTTAAAAAGATATTAGTTTTATATAATTAAATAAAGGTTAAAAAATATTACTCGACAAATATTAATTATAATAGATATCAGGAAAATAATTGCATAAATTATTTAAGGAAAAAATCTTTAAGATCATATCTGGATAATAAATGTAAATATGCAAACATTTAATGCATATGGTAAAAAAATTCCAAATAAGGTTTGCATTAAATGTGTGTTGATTTTTCTTGCTACTATTTTTGGTAAATAGGTTGACTTTTAATATATATATAGATATAGATAGATATATATATAGATGTATTTAATTACGTGGAGTAAAATAATTTTTGTTGTGTCCAGTGATGCATTTTAGAATTCTAAAGCTCATGAATAAAATCCAGTGTTTGGATTTAGGTGACATCCACTATTTTTCTTTGTTGGTTATTATTGTTGTTTGTTTTTTTGGGTGATTGATATTGATATATACCTCAGGTGGCCATGGAATGTAAATAGCAGATTGTGTCCCAAATAGACAGATGAACATAGCTGTGCAGACAAGAGGTTGGATACCATAAACATCACTTGTCCGCTTCGCATATACAACACTGAATTTAATGTAATGACTAAACAAACGACTGACATACATAATGGGATGGTTCGTAAAAGAACATTCTCTAAGCCGTGCCAGCGGTACCAAGAATGAGGTCAGTCTGAAGAAGAATAGATGGGAGCTTGCCCGATGGTGTAGTGCTGGCGGCAAACGGGCATGTAAAGGTCGGCCCCACCAACGAGCTCCGTTTGCATCTCGTTCGTCTTCCTTAATGTGAAGAATGCGCGCTCGCCGCATACCTCACACCAAGCCGTTAATTTGGTCACACTATCTGCAAGTGGGATCACGTCCAGCACCGACCCAAAACTCCTCCTCCCAACATCAAATCAAACAAACATGCACCTTAATCAATATAATCATATTTGTCCGCTGGACACAATAAATTTGAGTTTTGCTAGTCTATTGCCTACCTTAAGTAATCGCCGTCAAGGCCAGCTACCACAACAGTTTTGCCATCAACATCAGCCGCCTCACAGCAGAAATCATAGAGGTCAGCGAAAAATTGAGCCTCGTCGATACCAATCACATCCAACTGCCCACGGTTACGTACTAATTAGCGAATTATTACAGCTGTACAGCATAGATACAAAATTCTGTGACCAATGATCAAGAAAAGCGTAGACAAACTTTGAAGGTTTTTAATCATTTTCCGTTCCTCAAAACAGACCTTCATCAAATATAAAAACTAGAGATACTCTGGCTTATTCCGTCTTTTTCACTTTGATTACTTCAAGAGTATAAAAAACTAGTGGTAATCATGCATTTTTACTCCTTCAGTTGGTATGATTTCATCAACTAGTTAGCACTTCCCCGTTCGTTCACTTTACTTATAAGAAATATCATTACAGGGTAAACAAAATCCCCTCGTCAAACTAGCAAACAATCTTCTCTTAGTTAACACTGGAAAAACTCTAGCCAAACAGTGGTCTCTAGACTGAGATCAGCTAATTACGTGCAAACTAATCTCAAAATAAAAACACTTGTACTGTTTCTGGTCGTGTATCATTGTTAACTATCATAGGGCAAACAGAATAAAAGAAATAAGCAAAAGGAGCACGAATGAATGAGTAAGATGGAGAGCATAAAAATTGTGAACAGGATAATTTACTTTGTGATAGGCGTCGGGACCAAATTTGGTCTTAAAGGATAAGAGATCTGGCAATGCCCAGCAAGGCAACCTCGTGCCGTCATGCGTTACCACTTCATCCTCTGCGTATCGATTGTCTTTGCTCGATTTTACCATCGCTACACTTCTGCCGGAATCAGCTTCGGACATAACACGGCGGAGGAGGGCGGTGGTTTTGCCGGCGAACATGGGTCCTACGATGACGTGGACCTCGCCGGGGCGGCGATGAGAGTACGACGCCACCGGATCAAGGCCGTGGTGGGAAGGAGGAGGACACATGGTTGAGTTGAGTGAGATTGGGGGTAGTGCCAGTGGTGGGTGGGTGATAAGGAATCGCGTACAGTGAGTTGGACTTTTATAGAGAAAAAACAAGAACATAAAAATGGGTGAGGATGTCCTTTAATCAATGATTTATTAGGACATCAAAAATGAAAATTTAACTTTGTTTTGGAGGGAAATTTGGATTGAAGCGTACGGCGAACGACTCTTTTGACGACTTGGTTGGTCCACCCGCTGTGTTTGTGTGTGTGTGTGTGATTTTCAACTTTTTCATTAATAAATAAAAAAATAATAAATAAAAAAGAACAAAAATGCAAAATTATATACTACTACCTTTGAAAAAACAATTCGAAGAAGAATAAAGACAGTAGTACCTTGATTCTTAGCAAATTGAGGGAAAAGCGGAAGTAAACCAACCCAACCCTCTACAGTATTTTGGTCAAGAAAGACATCGCCGGCTGTCTGCTGCTCAAGGTAATAAAAGCACGTGCTTGTTTCAATTTTAATTTAGAGGGAATAGAAGAAGCTTTCAACACTTGTTAAAAACATTAACGGTGGGATAGGGATAATGATACCCTATATTGTGGGTTGCTGCTGCTTATCAACTGCTTGATCAATTGCCTCATTCAAACTATTCCTCTGTTTTTAAAAGTAATCCCGTATCAATCAAATGAACTAGCCAAAGGTGTGATATATAATAGTTATAAATAAATATAAGAAAACTTAAATAAAATCATGTTTGTTTTAAAAAATATCAACAACTAGGGTTAGAATCCTTAATAAGTTGATCAAATGGTGCCAAACACATTTTCTAACATATCCTGTTTGAATGAACGTATGAATGTCTCAACACTGTAATTGATACAATGTTGGGTACTGCTGGGAGGGACTCTACTTAGATTCACTTGATCATCCTTGAGGTTTTGGTGTGTGTGTGTGTATATATTTGTTTCTAGTAGCAGGTATAGAGAAGGACGAAGATGAGTGTGGAAGGAGAAAAGGTGATACTAGTCCCATACATGAAAGAGCATGTGCCTAAGTACCATGCCTGGATGCAAGACCCAGTCATCCTCCAAGCCACTGCATCCGAACCACTCACTCTTGATCAGGAATATGAGATGCAACTTTCCTGGGTTCAAGACCCCCTTAGTATGCATTACACCTTACCTTTTTTAGTTGCATTTTTTTTTTTTTTTTGTAATGCAAATCCATCCCCAACTTGTTTGGGACTAAAAGGCTTTGTTGTTGTTGTTGTTGTAATGCAAATCCATGAAAATGTTGCGAATTTGTGATCCAGAGAGGTGATTTTGATTTATGTGTTTTCTGTTTTTACAGAGCAGACCTTTATAGTGCTGGACAAGGAGTTAGTAATTGGAGATTTTGCCCATGGAGAACCCCACACCGAAGGTCATTATCTTATTATATGCTCTTTGATCTTAGTATATTATGGTCTGCTTACTCTGTGGTACTTCTTTCAGCCATGGTTGGTGATGTGAACATATTTATGAATGACCTGGATGATCTTCACATTGCAGAGGTGGAAATAATGATTGCTGAACAGAAAAGGTATATGTATTTGGACATTTAGAAAAAAAGTATGTGTGTCATCTCACTCGTCTTATTTTTTTTTTCATATTGGAGTTGATGAAATTTTACCAGTGTTATCATATTTTTCTTGTGTTGCATGTCTGTGGTAGTAAGAGAAGAATGTTCCTTTGTGGATGTTAGTGCATATTTCCTTGACTAGTTATTGGTTCATTATATGTTCCTATTTTTGGAGCTTCTCAGATATGTATTACATTATAGTGGACATTTTCCAATATGTTTTTGTTAAAATCTTAATTTACTGAAGGAATTAACTGCATCTCAAGGAAACTGTATATGCTATGCTCATTAATTAATAATCCTAAACTGCTTTTTTATTTACTCGGCTTATTTGTAGCAAATAGAAATATACTGTTAATACAGACTATCATTGAGTCCTTAATCGAATTATTTTGTTTTGATGGATTGAGAACCTTATCTATTGAAATCTTTTTTTTTTTTTTTTCATTGTATGAACAGCATAGGGTTAACTATAGTTAGTATCTGAACGACTTCATCTTTGAACGAGACACTTAATATTTCTGAGGCCTTATAGATGGAAAAAAAGGATACTAAATTTACTTGTCATATATTAGGTATCTGTGAAAGAAATCATTGGTTTCTTACGTAGACGCTTATCTTATTTTTTCTTATAGTCGTGGCAAAGGACTTGCGAAAGAGTCAGTTCTTCTCATGATGGCATTTGCAGTCACGAATTTTGGTATGCTTGTCTTTCGTGCAAAAATCGGCGAATCAAATGAGGCTTCTCTTAACCTATTCAAGAAATTGGTGGGTCTCTCTCTCTCTCTGAGTGTTTTTTTTT